GTCATAGTTAACATAATTACAAAACCTTTTTCTCATCGCGTAGTCTCATTTACAGGTTCTACAATGAGTTAATACCTAAATTACGTTTGTCAATAGATGTTTAGTTTATTGAATTTTTATTAGCGTTGATAAAGACAACAACACTTGAACACATTTTATTTTGACCTTAGTATAAGCAATTATCGGTATTTTGAATAAATTGTAATTGTGTTACAAGAGGATTCATAGGTCGAGACAAGAAATACGTAACTCTAGTACTTAGCCATCAAATTATTTGAATTTGAATTTTCTCTTAAAATAAAAAAAAAATTATGTATACATTGTATTGTATATGGTGAAAGATAGAAAAGCGTTGGTGAATAATAATAATTTCTAACACCATTTTAAGGCTTTCATCAGTACGAAACTCAAGCTCGTTGTTTTTGAATTACGTCCCACGACGAAAAAAAAATTGAACAATCTTTATTTCTAGAACGACATCTCTACTATAACTAAATACGATACATATAAGCGAATATAATTTACAATGTATGTATCGGATAAATGGAATTTTTAATTGCAACCCGGCCTTAATATAATAAACAGCTTTTAGTAAGCATTAGGTAACACTCCAGACTAAAAATTATAGACACGGAAATGACGTACATTGTAACGATTTTTGTTTTGTCAATTCTGTTTTGGTCGTGCGTGTTGACATTGAAACTTTTATTTTTTTTGCAGTTTTTTAAAGTTTATTTTATTGTTTTTGTTCACGCAAACATACGTTTTGGTATATTTGCCTTATCGCTGAATGGACGTGAGGAACGAGCCGGGCCTCATATCTATCGCTGAATGTAGCTTTACAACACAAAATGTGATATTTCTAGACCATGTACTGGACCAGCAAGCAAGCGGTGTCGCAGCAAGAGGACATTAATAACATAGTTTGCTAACAGATTTGGCGATTGGGGGAAGGGGGATGGAGGGTGGACAGAGGGGAAACCCTCCCAGAAAAAGATTTTCGGGAACAGTTAAACGTGGCCCTTCTGTGGATTTTCGGAAAAAATTCTAAAAATCGGCACAGGTCTCCGCCCACCCCTGACTACTAAAGCGATATACAGTGGAGCTCCTGCAAAACGAATCGCTGACCTGAAAACCTGAAATTTGTTCGTTACAAAGGAGTTTCGTTATACAAGAGTTTTAAATGCGCTGTGTAGTAGTAGACGGAGATCCAAAGTTGTTCGTTAAACGGGAGTTTTGTTATAGAGGAGTTCGTTTACAGGAGTGCCACTGTACAACGTAAAAGATATAATACAGCAAATAGTAACGCTATTTCAAATTCTCATAGCTATTAACCGTATTTTGAGTTAGCTGGAAAAACAGAATCCATCAATGACAAGGTAGCCAGGAGAACCCACGTTTTTTGTCGAGATAGTGCAAAGCTATTATATGTTTTACAAGAAAAAATTTTGTGTTTAAATCATGAGAAATAACTTGTAAAACCGTACTTGTATCACGCAACTTTTGTACTTTGTACAACACTCTTCCTGTTAGTTAATTGAATTTTTAACAGAAGCTTGTAGTAAAAGTTTAGATAAAGCATTACTACAACAAGTGTTTAAATAACATTTGATGTTGCCTTTGACAGTTGTATTTGTATCGTCCGCAATCTGACTTCAGCGAATTTCAGTAAATAATCTTTTTTGTTTCCGTAAATCATAGTTTTGCTTGGCATCGTTACCGTGTTTTGACTTGATCAAGTGAAAGCGGCTGAAGTCAGTGAATTGGTAAGTCCATTTACAGGTGCGCCCAAAGGTCTGTTACACGGTTTTTTAATCAACTATTAAATTTAACACAAATATAACTAAAACAACAACTAACAATAGTGAAGTTTTGTAACAGAACTTTTGGCGCACCTGTATTCTTGGCTTTGTGAAGTTTTGGACGACCTGAACTATATGTTTGCATAAGTTCCCGTTGCTATTGCTTTTTTTTCAAGTTTTAAAGTGGTACCGGTCTAAGGCATCCTAATTGCCTGCGACGGCCACTTGACTAAAAAGAACTAATGCTTATCAGCGAGTACTTTTCATGCGAAATTTTTAATTTTTAAAACATTTAGTTAATACAACTACAATCTTGTAGCGTGACTCAAACTACACTTCGGCCCTGTTTATTTGTAGAAGAATATCTAGTTTGGTAACCGTGTAAGAAATAATTTATTTTATTACACTTACTAGAAGGCGTTTTAATTTAAGGTTTACTGTAGCTGTTTCATTAAAACAAAATTAACAACAAATTTCGGTTTGTTTTCATAAGTGTAAACATACTCGAACTACTGTGAATATTGATTTTTGGACCATAACTAAACAATGGCATCTTACTATCCAAATGAATATAGTCGGTATTCGTGGATCGACGAATCCCTGCCACTTCCTGATGTTACTCCTGAACAACTAAAAACGTGGATGATAGTAACCGCGGTTTGTCATAATGTTGCCTTTATTTTGGGAGGAATTATGTCGTTTACTTTGTTAACTTTGATTTTACTTTGCACTCCAAAGACACTAAAGAATTATAAACCGATGTTACTTATATCATCGTTTTGCGACATCTTTTTCTGGTTTTTAATGTCATTGGTTCAAATGGTAAGTTTTTAGTTTTAGGTTTATATTTTTTTTAAATATTGGAGTGTGTTTAGTGCAGACAGGGGTGATTCTTGGCAGAAACCGCTATGAAAATTTTTTTAAAAAATTGAATGTGGACCTCTCGTCCTAGAAATGGGTATTTTTTAAAAGAAGTATAACTGTTTCATGTATTTTTACAGTCCGGCAACATCAAAGACAACGTAGTTGCATTAAGGCTTAACGGCCCGGCAAAATTTTTGAATTACGACCAACAAGCCATATGTATTGGACTATGCGCTATTGGAGTGGCAGCTGCAATTGCTATATTACCAGTTAATTACTATTACCGTTACACTTACATGAAACAGTAAGCCATTTTATAATAAAGATAATTGTTTTTTTAGTTTGTAAACTAATTATTATTTTTTAAATTTTTTTAAACGGACAAGGAAAGGTTTGACCTGCCCCGCTCTGATTGACTTAAAACTTTTTATAAAGAAAGATCATGTAAATATAAGATCTTCAGCAAAGTACTAAATCGCGCTTTCCTGGAAACCTCGAGAAAATTGAGATTAAAAAATGGCATTTTGAATTTCCCGCCAACTTGAAATGCATTGTGTTTCAAGCTTGTAACTTTGTCATTTTTTGCCTTTTAGTAATTTTTCTTTGATATACTAGTAGAATACCTTTAAATAAACCTAAATTGTTAAATTTGTAAGCGTAGTTTGTCTGGAAATTTGAAAAAAATGCTTGAAACACAATGCTAAAGTTGCCAAAATGGCGGGAAAATCAAGTACTTATTTAAAAGTAAAAACTCGAAAGCCTAAGCTAAAATTTTTTATGAGTACTACTCGTAGTACAAAGAATTCATATAAAAGTTTTAAGCTAGATCTGAGAGGGGCAGGTAGGGTAATTTCCCTGTAAATAATATTTTTTCACAATTAGTGAGTATCAAAATAAATCTTCATTGCGTTTAAAAATGGTTCTTTTGTACACAGCAGCACTCTTCGTTGCTTGCGCGTATGGAATTCTGGCATACCTGAGCTTCACGTGCGGACCACGACCAGACTATAACTATGCTCGTCTTTGGTTTGATCCAAGGTCTGGGCCGACTATCATGCCAGTTGATATTGTAAGTAAAAAATTTTCTGTGACTATTGAAACTATTCTTCGTTTTCTAGAGAAGCGATGTTACAAAAGTTTTTATTTTGTCGACGCTATTTGGATCCGCGACCTTCTATGTCATTGCAATACTACTTGGACGCTTGACAATGCGGTTTTTGGTCAAAAATTTGAGCTCATTTTCAAAAAAGGCGTTAACAATGCAAAAGCAGCTAAGTAGAACTTTAATGTTGCAGGTAATGACTTAACAATGGTCTAATGTAATCTTTGTTGGTAACATTGAAAAAAAATAACTTACAGTAACGATAAATATTTTTTATAGTAAAACCATTTCAGGCAATTGTACCAATCTTGAGTTCGGTTGGTCCGTGTGCTATTGTGGGTTACTGTACGCTAACGGGCACCGATGCTGGAGTGATCAGTCTTCTAATTTACATTTTCTTCTATTGGATACCAATTTTGACCCCCTTATCAACTATAATTACAATCAAACCGTATCGGATGGTCATAGTCAACATTATTCAAAGACCTTTCTCTGAACCCATAGTCTCATTTACAGGTTCTACAATGAGAATAACTAACTAATGTTTTACAAGTCATGCTTAGTTCGTTTTTGGTTGTTTGATGTTTTCCTCTTTAAAATCAATCATTTATTCATATATTATTTTATTAGTTCTTGAGATCCGTTAATGTCAATAAAAATGTCAAAAAACAAACATGAAGATATACAAAAGTACTTTACATGTAGATGAACATACTTTACATGCAGACACACATATATATATCCGAAAATAGTGTTGGGCGTGTTAAAAAATCTATAGAATTTCGGGCGACGGCCAATTATATCAGTTCAAAACCTATTTTTTGTGTGAAACCCGATGTGTTTTTTCAAACGTTTTGTAGAAATAAATTAATATGACGACTGGTTGTGACATATATTATCCTGTGACCTCATCTACGTTTCCTATAAGGCAGTTTTGTCAACATTCATAAGTGGTTGAATTGTTTTACCAACTAAAAGACGCTACTTTACTATGTTGTAGTAGGTGCGGGTGGTGGAGTTTGATGACTTGCGGGTTTAAATTGAGCAAATCTTTGGCCAAATGACATTTTGGAATACTTCTAATAGCTTTAGATCAACGTAAAAATAAGATGCCTTGAGGGAGAAATTGATTTTAAGAGCAGAAAAATCAAAAAATTTCCAAATTTGATGAAAAACTTAATCAATAGTGATCATTTGACATAGAAATTTGTGATCATTTGACATTGAAATTTTTACAAAAATTCGTCCTGGTCATCATCCGTGTTTTGAATGTCATCTGGTGTCGATTTGCCATGAGACGATTGGATAGATACCCCGAGATGCGGCGAAGAGTAAGCACAAGGTGATCCTTCGCTTTGCACTGCCCGAACCGTTTGAGCTACATGATTCGAATTGGTACGTTGCTTCTTTTTCGATTTTTTGAGCATTTTGGCCTTGAAATAGTCAAATTTAATTTTTTTAAGTACAGCTAGATTAAAAATTTCAAAACATTTTTTATCGTATAAAATAGCCGCGCAGCCTGCAAGGTCTAAAATCATTGAAACAAATAAAAAAAAACTCACTTTTAGAGCTGATTTCAATATGGTTATGGTGCCTGGAGGCTGAATATGTGGTTCACCATCGACTTGGACAGGCCATTCGTCTCGAGTCGTAATTTTGATCTAAAATCATGTTGTAGTAGGTATGTTGTTCCTTGTTTTTAATTTTTCTGTATTCTTTCAGGTTTATCTTCCCTATGCTAATTGTAGACATATTGAAAAACCTTTTTATGACTTAAAAAGTGTACTTTTAAGGTTTTACTAATTAAAATTTGGCTCTTAATCAAGAGTTATGCCAATAAAAATATTGAAAATCAAAGACTTACACTTCCACCTTGAGCAATTCGAATTCCAGCGCCCATTTTGGACTGGATTAGGCCCAATCTGGTCACGTCCGGAATCCCGACCACCTCCAGAAGGCCATCGTAATGAGTTGGCTTCTGGAAAATGCCCTCCTCTTTCGCCGATCCCCATGGATTAGCACCGCTACCCCAGGACATTAAGTTCAGGATACAGATTCCTTCGACCGGTGGGAGTTCGATGATCTTGCCATCGACTTCTAGGTCAATTCTCTTCCACAAATCTTTGCAATTTCGTTCGAAAAAGGCCTTTTGAAGACCGATCTTGACGTATTGAGTCTTGTTGAAGAGTCTGGATGAGAACTTTTCTGGATTTGCGTCGCGCTGGAATGGAATTAGTTGTAAAATAGGTATCAAAATGTTGAATTTTCTCTTATTTATCTTATCTTCTAAGTAGATTATTAATTTTTTCATTTTAAATTTAAAAAATGTCAAGTCAAACTTCAAATCCTACCTTATTATGGAACTGAAGACACACATCAGCGTCGATTCCAATCCCAAAGTAGTTGTTCATGATGATCATACTGGTCTGATCTTCAGGATTGGACATCATTTGATCAGGATCGGCCGATTGTTCCCCTCCAGTGGGTGGTTGAGATCGTTCTTCCTCATGAAATACCACCGCCCATCTATCTAATCTAACTTCCTCGGCTTCAATCACATCCTGTAGAATCTCTCGTGGATTCTCTTCGCCCGTGTAGCCTCCACCCCAACGTAGCACTCGAGCTAGATCGTTGCCAGTACCTAGTGGAACTACGGCACAGGGAGGGGAGAAGCAGGCGGCGTCTTGTTTGGCTATGTCAAGACATTGTAGTACCCAGCCAATCGTACCATCACCTCCGCAGGCTAAGATACGGTATTTTGGGACGTTACGGAAGACATATAATCTGTAATTTAATGGTTTTAGTATTAAATTTCAATTTTTCAGAAAGTTTTTAAATTTGATATTGTAGTAGGCATTCTCTTTCCAAATTTTTGAAGCTTCACAGTTTCAAAAACTTAGGTAACACCTCACTTACCCAACCAACGGACCACCTTTCAACACATCGAACACCTGGAAAGGATTCAGAAGCCGTCGGAAGGCTGTCATCAGTTCAGCACCTTGACATCCACCACTTTTCACATTGACCAATACCAACAAAGGCTCAATATCCGTGGGTAACATGTGAGTTTGTATATTCGGAAGACACAAAACGATCAGTTTCTTGTCCTCATACATGGCATTCTGAAGCTTTTGTACTGCTGACGTTGCGGCTTTTGGAGTGTTGAAAGTAATGACCAGAGACCCGTACTCAAAGTAGATTGGACCTATCGCTGTGAAGGGTTTTTCTGGAAAGATTTGGGTTAAGAATGCTTTTTTTAAAATTTTATACTATATTTGAAAAAATTAAAAAACCAACTTTTGAATTTGAAAATTTTGAGGCAAAACCTCACCTTTAGCCCCCAGAAGCTTCAACAATATCCTCTCATACGTCCGCTGAGCCAAAGATGGCGGTAAGTTCCCCACAAACACAGCATGATCATGAGGATCCTCCTTCTCCTGGATGTAAAACCTAACTACGTGATATCGTCGCAACGAATCTTTTCTTAAATTCCGTATCAATTGTAACATATTCTCTTGGGGATTGGCTGTCCGCTCGGCTACACCTTTCTCTAATGACACTTCGACCAATGTGTACTTGTTCCATGTCGCACCTTCCATCCCAAAGTCTTCCAGAGCGTTGAAGAGAACGTCTTGAACTAGGGTTTCTTTAGTCACGGAGATCTCGGTGAAGGTTACTGGGATTCTATAACAATATTGTTAATGATATTTGGGTTTTCTTTTTGAGAAATTGATTGTTGTCAATAAGAGTTCTTACATTCTACTATTGTATAAACGAATATTTTAACTTAAAAAGATCGTGTTAGATCAAAAGACTAACCATAAACTTCAAAAACAAAGTTTAAACTCAAAAAAATTAGATGCAAACTCCCAAAAACATTATTTTACACCAATATATTAGCTATAAAACAGCAAAAACAGCAAATTAAAAATACAAATTGACTAAAAAACATCAAACAACCCGCTTCCAACCTAAAATTTATCTCTTTTATCTCTAAAACCCCAAAAACCTACCTTAACCACCCTCCATACACCTTAACCGACGCCTTCTCCGGATCATCTCGGTACCTCAAGTAGATCTGAGCCCGTTTCCCTTCAGGCCTTTTCATGTTCCTCAAAGGAATCGGGTCCTCCAAGTTCTCCTCGTCTCCTCCAATCTCAAACGGTGCTTGTGTAACATAATATAACTCTAGATTGTCGTTGATATGAAATCGCCTCATCGCAATATCACGGATCTGCTCCACGCTAGCCATTTTCGGGATTTGTGCCGTTCGATACACCTGATTCCGCATCGAACTGTTGCCATCGTATATTCTAATGAGTTCGTGATCTTCTTTCTCCTTCTCCTCGGCGAATGCGTTGTCCTCGGCGGTGGTGCGTGATGGAGATGAGACTAAAAAAATATAAAGTTATGAGGAGTTGTAAAGACGTTGATTTTTAGGTAACAGGTCGTTTTTAAGTAAGAAAGAGGTAAAGATTTTAATGTTCGAAACAATTTTCAAAAAACATTTAATTTTTGGACATTTTCCAGCGTATAAAGTGAGAAAATCGCATGGGCGCAGTTTGAAGAAGCCAAAAACGAGCAAATTTTGGAAAAATTTCTTTCAAAGGCGTTATCAAGTAGTAGCATAGGTTAAAATGCTCTTTTCAAATTTAATTCAAACGTTTTAAGGAACTAAAACTTTGTTTTAACATATTTAAAAGGTAAAATACGATCTGCAACGAAAAATAATTAAAACTTTTAAATAAAAAATAGTTTTTTCATTCCTAACAGTTTCAATTTTGCCATGATCACCTTTTCTATTACCGTCGTTATTAGGGAACCCGTGTGATGAGCCGTGAGGACCGTGAATGTTCAGTAGCTGTTCCATTGGAAGTTCAGTTCGGGGGATGGTCACTGAATTTGGAGGGAGCATGATCTTCCGAAGGATTCCGAAGTCGCAATCCGGTTTCACTTGAGCTAGACATACTGCGTGGGACTAAAATTGGATGGTAAGATTTGTTTTCAGACTGCCATGGTTAATATCGATTTTCTGGTAAAATACGAGAATTATTTTTCCTATAGTACTATACTGATCTTTGTAGTACTCACGGTAAGAGCACACCACTCGCACTGCATCCCAGTGAAACATTCGTAGGAATAACACGTTTTCCTGCACACAACACATTTGGCGTCGCGAGGAGCGTTGCCTTCTCGCATATGGTGATATTGTTTGTGGGACACTTTGTCCAAAGATGGTACGAAAGTGGCAGCTTCTCGACAGTCGCTTACTGCTAAGTCTTGGCATTCCACATGGACGTAGTATTCACATACTGAAGTTTGAATATAATGTTTTAAAATTTTTTTTGCCATTTTATGCTTTGTAAAAAAGGTCTTGCCATTTTTTGCTTTGCGAAGAAAGTTATTGCTATTTTTAAGTTTGTAAAGAAAGTTCTTGTCATTTTTTATTATGTAATTAAAGTTTTTGCCATTTTTTGTTTTGTAAAGAAAGTTTTTGCCATTTTTCGCATTGTAAATAAAGGTCTTGTCTTTTTTCATTTTGTAAACAAAGTTCTTGTTATGTTTTGCGTTGTAAAGAAAGTTCTTGCCATTTTTTTGTTACGTAAAGAAAGTTCTTGCTATTTTTCATTTTGTAAAAAAGTTTAAAAAAAATTAAAAAATCTAAATTTGAAAAACTAAAATACAAGAATTAGCAACCTACCTTCACAAGCTACACTCAATGCGTCATCGGTGCGTTTTCTGCAAACACAACAGAATTTGCGTTTGATTGAGGTTGAGGGCTCGGACCAGGTATGGGCTACTGGATTCTTGATGAGCTGAAGAGCTACACCGCTGCAGTACGATACTACAGTTCGTAGACATCGGTCGTGGCAGACGAAGTTGCATACTGAAAAAGTTTATTGTAAGTATTGTAATTACTTTTTTATGGGTTTGTTGGTGATATGATATTATATATATGCGTCTTACTATTTCAAATGTTACTTAAGTTTAAATATAAAAAAATGTGTAGAATTTAAATGTTTTTGCAGCATTATTTTAGTATCACACACTCTTTGTGGGCTTACGTTTAACTACGCAAAATACTGTGTGAACTTTACGTAGTACGTTCCGGTTATATACTACGGAGTACGTACTGCAACGTCTATATATTATCTATATCTTAGTCTTATGGTTATTCTTATACCTTCAAACAATACATATTTAACCCTACATTCACCTTTTTATAATTTTTTATACCGTCCAAAGACTACTTTCATTGTTCACACTGTACCTCTCTTGTTTACTCACCTTCGCAGACGTAGCCTTGAGACAACATTCCCCATATCTTCTCGGAACAATGATGACAATTCACCGGTTTGCCGAACGTCTTTTTGACAAAATAATGGCCATGATCTTTCTTGTCCAACGACATTATACTCGCGTCTACATTGTGCCCTTCGGCCGTCATTTTGGCTGTCTATGGGGCGCGGAGTAGATAAAAAAGGTCAACAAAGGTATACCAAAAGGAGCTGGATTGTAGTACTAGTAACAGTGTTATCAGTAGTATAATTACCGGTCGGAGCAGTAGTATTGGTACCAGATGTTTTAGTACTATAGATAGCAGAGCTTGATTGTTGTACTAGTAACAGTGTTATGAGTAGCAGAGGTACTAGACGTATCAGTAGTGTAGGTACTAGCCGGTTGGGTCAGTTGATTCTTGTTGTTGTTGAAGTATTATTATCTCCTTGTAGAAACATATAACACAATAGGCTTTGTTGAGGTTCAATTGGGTAGACTGTGACTTAAATCAAGATGTCAAAGATTATGTCTGAACTGTTGTACACAAAAGAAAATTTAAATAAATTTTAAAGCTAATGATACCTAAAAGAATCTCAATTAAATTTCAAAAATTGAAAAAGGCCTAACTGTACTTTAGACAATAAAAAATTAGAAAACTGTCTTTCAAAGTACAATAACAACAATAAAGTACAAGTGTACTAAAAGGTACTACAGAAAAATCAAAAAAAAGTTAATCAGTATTGCAAAAAACGTCACGAAAGTAAAACAACCTCACGTAACGAGCAACAAAGATACGATCAGATCAATAGGCGATTTTTGAGTAATTGAAACGACGTTTCTTGAGAGAAAAATTACAATTCAAGCAGAAAAGAAGTCAGACAATAGTACGGAAGAATTGAGACTATAGTAGAGAATATTGTACTACAAGTTTTTTAATACCAAATCAACCTCCACCAATTGAAAGTAGTCTATATAGTACGTTGTACTAGGTGTAAGTTTAAGTACTAGACAGTACCAGGTGAAACAAAAGCTGGTAGTAAATTTCCTGTACCAAGTAGTAACTGTAGTACTAATAAATAGTCGATAGAGTACCAAAAAGTAGATTTACGAAGTTGATGTTAATCAGTATCAAAAGTTGTACCAATCAATAACTGAATCAGTACCTACCACTGAGAGGTACTGATTCACTATTGAAATCAGTACTGACTCAAAATATCAAATTCAATATATCGAAATCAGTACCAATCGCCACCAAAAGTCGAGTGTACCGTAGTCGAGTAATGAGTGTGCCAATTGAATGCCGCGGTTCGGTTGCAAACGCCGCATTAACTCAGTGCTGCATTTTATCTCTCCGGAAGTATCAATTATGGAAGAGCACGTTGAGTTGTGTTATCGAACCGCGACGCACTGAAACGAAAAATTTTTTAGTCAATTTTAAGGGAGGGGGGGAGGGCGAGGGTTTTGTTTGTTTCACGAATTAATTGAAAGGGTTTGAGTTCATCACGAGTGCAAGGAAATTACCGGTAAAAAATAAAAAAAATGAAAAATTTATAAAAATTAAAGTTCGCTAGGCTTAATTAATTTATTTTGTTTGAAGGAGTGGGAAAGAAAACTAACAGCATCTAGAAGAGTCAGCACCTTCCAAATAGGGAGAGAAAAGGTTCAGACCGATCCGACCGGTAGAAAAAAAGCACGGGGAAACAAGATTCAAATTCCGGACTCTCGGTCCGGGAAGGACTCTGCAGATGGGTAGGGCTAGAAAAAGAGGGGAAGGGAGAGGGGTAAAGCAAGAAAAAGACGAAAAGTGGGTAGAATAAGACAAGAAAAAAAGAAGGGAGGGAAAAATATTTAAAAAAAACAAAAAATTGTAAACTAGAAAATTAATAACATCTTCAAATCAAGTTGCTTTTCTTCAAACAATTTTTTTTAAAAACCTCCCCCTCCTACAATAATAAAACTTGGAAAAAAGTTTAAATTAAAATTTATCCTATGCTTTGAATTTTACAAATAAAATTAAATGTGGCATAATAGTACCATTTTAAACAAACCACCTTGTTTTAATGTGGCTGCTGTGATCCTACTCTACCCTACTTTACCCTACTTCTACCCCTCTACCTCTCTCTTATTCTAGAATCTCGTTCTTTTGTTAGACTGAGGTTGGTTAGCGTACCTTCCAATTTCTGTCTAAAGGTTACCATACTTTAAACATAATACTTCAAATATAATAAAATCAGCTTATCTGCGTAAAATATTTACTATGACTGCTCAATTCTTTAAAAATCAAAGTCAAAACAAACAATAACAAAACATTTCCAATACAAATCCAAATCAACCTTCCCTGCCCTCTCTTTCCCTCCTCCAACCCCTCAAACCTGATCCCCCACCCCTCCCAATCAGAAAATGGAATAAAAGATTAAAAATAACCGCGCCCAAAACAAGATAATCCCAGTGATTTTGGGTTGGAGCTAAACAGTGGAGCGCTTAACACACTGAACGACATTCTTTTTCTTTCCCCCCCACCCCACACACACAGTTTTTGGGGCGAAGACGGCCCGAGGCGGTTTTGCGGGTCTTCAAGGGGCCTGAAGAGCCGAAAGCTGTAGCGCAACTCACGCTCCGTCGTCTTCTTCTTCGTCGTCGTTCCGTGATGAGGGTCCGGGCGTTTTTCTTCTCCACGCCAGTTTTTTTAGTTGGGCCGTCTTTTTCTGCTTCGTCTTTTAGTGGTTGGGCCGTTTTTCTTCTGTTTTGCCGTCGTCTTTTAGTGTTTCGGCCGTCTTTTGCTTTTTAGGCCGTCGTCTTTCGCTTCTGAAGCTGTCTTATTTTGTTTCGGCCGTCTTCTTCTTCTGAAGTTGTCTTGCTTTGGCTATCTTTTCCTTCTGAAGCTATCTTGCTTCGGCCGTCTTCTCCTTCAGAAGCTGTCTTCTCTTGTTTTGGTTGTCGTATTTCTCGATGCGCTAGTCTTATTCTTCTGTTAAATAATTGAGTCTAGACGCCTCCCCCTTTACCTCAAGATTGACGTCTTCTTTATGTCAGCTTTGTCTTCTTCTGTCTTCTTCACCGGCCGCTTTCATCTTCTCGATTCTTAATCACTTTCTTCTTCTTTCGATCGTTAGCTTCTCTTTTTAAAATTTATATTCCTTGACGTCATTTTTTAGTGTTTTTGATCTTAAAAAAGTCTTCAAAAAAGGAAAAAATCTTGCTAAGCCTAATTGTTAAAATTTTGAAAATTCTTGCCAGTTTAACTGTTAAAGCCGTGGAAATTTTTTGGTTTTTTGATTCTTGGTGGTGTCGCCGTTTTCTCGTTTTTAAAGGCAGCTAAAATGTAGAATGGCAACATAGAAGTTTGTTTTTCATTTTACTACTGAATAATGTTTACAGTTTCTTCTTTTTATTACAGAATAGTATTTACAGTTTAGCTTTTGTCTACTGCCTCTTGACGTCTATTTGTTCATCAACAACTTCTGAAGCTCATCGACAAATTCTTAAATTCATCGACAACATCTTAATGCCTTTTTCTATCTTTTTACGCCTTAATATTCATCTAGTGCAATCCTTCTTCTTCCTTTCGTTCTTGCTCATCTACAACACCTATAAAAATGTTTTCTTTCTCATCTAGAGCTTCTTTAACATTTCTTATTTGTCTACAGTCTCTAACTATCTCTACGTGTTTCTTCTCTTCCTTCAACGTCTTGGTGTTTATCTACACATTCTCTTACATTTCTTATTCATCTACAACCTCTAAACCTCTTCATGTTCATCTACAGCTACTCTCACATTCTTTATTCATCTACACCCTCTCTTACTCTTTTTGTGCATCTACAACTTCTCTTACATTCCTTATTCATCTACAGCCTCTAAACCTCTTCATATACATTTCTATTCCATCTACGTCTACATGTTCATCTACAGCTTCTCTCCTTCTTCATGTTCATCTACAGCCCCTCTCTCTTCCCCAAAAAACACAAAAGAGCAAAGCCGGCGAGGGGAAATGAAGACAACAACCCGTCCCGCTTACCAAGACTCACCACCGCCCTCCGGGCAAGAACACACAGTTGATGAGGGAAAAGCAAAAACGTGAATGGCGCTCGTCAACAGCGTCACGTTGGCCCCAAAAAGAGGGAAAAAGACGACAAAATTGGGGGATTTTAGTGAATACATATTTGGTCAGGATTTGGTCGTATCTTAGGATATTGTAATCTAGATTCATTTAAAAATATACTCATCGTTTCTCAAGGTCTTAACGGCCGTTCTTAGGCCTTTACATCGTTCTTAAGCCTTTTACATCAAGATTCTGGCCTCAAAACTCTTTTTTAACAAGCCTTTTCTTATGTTATAGTACTCATCAAAGACTTTTACTAAATCAAATACATAATAGTCGAGGTAGTAAATAGTTTCCGAGCCCAAACCCTACTATTCTTTATTGTTTGTTCAAGTTCAGTCTATTATTGTTGACATTAACACACTTATTGTTCTGTCTCTCAACTTTTTTTGGAAAGACGTTGTCAACTTTAGTATTGTTTTGCTCAAATTTTGTAAAAACAAGTTTGAAATTAAGGTTGTTAAGCATAATATAACATAGTTTTTGATATTATATCATTTAATATATCGTTTTTATATATGCTGATACAAAAAAAAATTTTTTCGGCCGTTTTTTCTGATATCTTGTTTTGCTTATCAAGGGTCCATAAATGGAAGAAAAATCGTGTTGTAAGCAAAAAATGCCTCCCCCCGCCCAAAATTGCATAATACAAACACACTAACAATTTTAAGCACGCCAGAACATTTTCGATTTTTGGCACGATGTCTTCTGATTCAAATTTCTTGGCTGAATACACAACAATAAGGCTATAACAAAGTTAACTTTTGATTTTCTTTTCGTTTTTCCTATAGAAAAAGACAAGACAAAATGCGTGGTATGGCAGTGACAAAAGAATGACAATTCCAATGTTTAAAAAGATAAATCTGAGAAAGTCTTTAAAAGTGCAACATAGTATCAAAAAAAGCACTAAAATCACAATCTCAGAAAAAAATTTTAAAGGGAAAAACCAATACTTTTCAAAGTAAAAATTTTTTGTGCACCACCCATTGGTAAAATACTTTAACTCCTCACTAGATTTGTAAAAAAGCCAGACTAGACCCAAGTTTTTGGCTTGTACAATATAAAATTTGTTTCGGCCCGACCTGACCAGCCCAGCCCAGCCCAGCTTAGTCTAGCCTAGCTCAGCCCAACCCAGCCCGGCTAGTAATATCAATTTACAAATCCACCCCTCTCCCATTCTTCTGCCAAAAATAAAAGGACTACCAAAACTTGTTTTAAAACAGCACCGAGTACCCAAATTCATGCCCCAAAAAATCAACAGCAACAACAAGTGCCAAATGCTCTGGCCTAATTGACAAAACGAAAATTGTCAAGACGTTCCTAATTAAAACGCCTTAATCTCACTTGACGCATACTGCAACCAGCTGGAGGTAATCTGCGAAAAAGTAATTGAAAAATAGCATCCGAGCAGTTTTTCTTAAATTTTTTGAAAACATGAAAAAAAAATAAAAATTTTTTGAATTTAAAAAAAAATTTTGCTAATAAAAAAAATTTTTTTTGAAAAATGAAAAAACTTAAAAATCAAAAAACTTTTTACCCCGCCCATAAAAACCCATGTCCTTTAATTCTAGCTATCCTCAGATCTCTTTCCAAACTTTCCCCTCCCTCTTCCTTGCCCCCCCCCCCTTGCCCCAGTCAAAGAAAAATTCAGCCTTCGTACAAAACCATAGGCACTTTATAAAACCCACCCTCCCGAACCCAACACAACATGCCAGACTAAACTTTGGAAAAGTAAAATTTTTGATTCCAAAATCCCTGCGGGCGAAACGAAGCCATTAAAATAAAAATTCGGGTTTGTAAACAAAAAAAGCTTTGGAGAAAGTTGGTACTCGAAAGTAATTAGACCGGCCGAAAAAATAGAAGCCGACTTCTTGACTTCCATATGGACACAGATTTATATTATAGAAAGGGTTTTCTTAACAAACACTTGGCCATTCAAAACACAAAAAAAAAACGACCGCGGCTTTATAAATAATCGACAGGATACGAATTTATACCGTGTTTTTGGAGATGGTAAAAAAGTTATTTTCATTTTAAGATGTAGTAGGTAAAGTAAGGTAGAGAAGTCCCGGCCCAAAATAGTTCGAAGAAAGTGTGGTAAAGCGAGGCACTGTAGAATAAAGTAGGGTAAGGTAGAATAATGTAAGCCATAGTAGAAGAGTAGGAGAGGATGATAGACATAGGGATCGGGTCGAGCCAGATTTTTAGGCCCGCCCGTTTTTCATTTTGCTCAAGCCCGACTCGATCAGAATATTTTTACGTGCAAACAAACCGGCTTTTCAGGCTGGACTAGGCCTTCAATTTCAAGCCGGCACGACTTAAATTTAGATGAGTAAGGTAGCGTAGAAAGCTAACGTAGAGCAGGATAAGATAGAAAAGGCTGGTTATAGCAAAAAAAACAGAGCAAGACAGGGTAAGGTAGGATAGGGTAGAGTAAGGTAGGGTAGGGTAGAGTAGGGTAGGGTAGGGTAGGGTAGGGTAGGGTAGGGTAGGGTAGGGTAGGGTAGGGTAGGGTAGGGTGGTACTGCAACTTCAAATGCAATTTTTAAGCAACAACGTGCCTACGTGTATCTTCACAGGTAAGAAAAATGATTTTGAACAAAGCCTTGTTACATGTCAATCAAAAAAAAATATTTTTTGTTCTCTAAAGCCTTGTTAACAGATCAATTACACGAAAAAACACATTGAACTCACAATTATCAATCCCCGCTAATCAAACTTGACATATGAGACAGCATATTCATGTATGTCAAATATTTTAAATTCCTGTTTTGACATTGATAAAAAAGAGTTATCTTGCGTTGTTCAGGGTATTTTGCAGAATAATTACAAAGATTTTACTTGATTTTCCAAAATAAGTTTAAAAAACAAAGTTTCACTAGGGTTTGCTACTATTAAATATCTTTGCAGCCTTAACACTGCAACGTTGAGCTTGTTTTGTTACCTAAAAGTAAAATCTTTCAAAATTTTTACCTAAAATCAAGTTTTTCTTAAAATTCTTACCTAAAACCAATTTTTCTTAAAGTCGTCATCTAAAATAATTTTTTCCACAAAAAAATGTAAAATTGTTACCTAAAATCAAATTTTTTAAATAAATTTTTAGCTAAACTAAAAATTTAAATTTTTGTTATTTAAAATTAAAAAAACCCTAAAATATCGACCAAAAACCCAAAATAGCGACAAAAAAGTGAAGCCGTCAAATTATTGAAATACCAAAAAAATCTCAAAATATCGACCAAAATCTAAACCTCTCAACATACAGGGTCCGCCAAAAGTTCTGTTAAGTTGACTGAGCCAACAAGTGAACATGTCAAAATAACGACAAAACCTATCTGTAAACCCCTCAAACTATTGCTATACCCAAAAAAAGATAAAGTCTTAAAACATTGACATACCCAAAAAGACAACCTCTTAAAATATTGCCATAGCCAAAAAGTAGAACTCCTCAAACTAGTGTTATACCCAAAAGCGAGAACTCTCAAAACATTGCTATACCCAAAAAGATAACGTCTTAAAACATTGCTATACCCAAAAAGATAACGTCTTAAAACATTGCTATACCCTAGCAGCAATACTCTCAAAATATTGTCATACCCAAAACGTAGAACCTTTCAAAATATTGTCATACCCAAAAAGGTAACCCCTCAAACTATTGACATACACTAGAAGTAGAACTCCTCAAAATATTAACATACCCAAACGTTTAAAATACGTTCGGTTGGTGAGAGAAAAAGAGTGACAAAAAAGAATGTGCAAAAAAATGCAGGACCAAATAAAAATGAAGGACATTGGCCTTTAAGCCCGGCGCCTCGGGTCAAAAAAAAACTCTTTTCCTGAGGCGCTGGCTCGCCTACACTTTCCGTTCGCCGCTAATCTTTAGGCCTTTTCTTTCGTTGTTCGGCCGCCCTCTTGTTTTTCCACGGTCTCTGCGGCAAAAAATGTGCCACCTTAATTCGAGCGCGGTTAAATTCAATTTCATCGAAATAAGACACACGGTTTATTCGATAAAACAACATTTGAATATTGTTTGTTTTGGCATTTTCGGAATTCCGAGTGAAATTGTAAAATTGTTTTTGAGTTTTGGTGTTGCTGGGGGTCTGGCAGTGGGAGTAAGGGTAGCAGTTAAACCGGGCAGTGAGGGGGGGGTTTAAAAAAATAAAAAAATAAAAAAAATGTAGTCAAGGCCAGGAAATTAAAATTAAAAAAAAATTTTAATGAATTTCTGAAAAATTTTTTTTTAAAAAAAATTTTAAATTTATGAAAAAAATGAAAAATTGGTTGATTGTTTTAATCTTTGTCCATTTTATCAAATAGATACTACTATATGAGTACGATATAAATAAAGGAATGTAACACCAACGTATTTTACCACGCTTTTCTCTCTCCTTTTTTGCGAACCGGACCCTCTTTTTTCTCTGCCTTGTTTTCCTACTCAAATTAAGGTCCCATAATCAATATCAGATCCCCACCTATTCAAATCAACGTCATACTCTCAAAAAAAACCTACCCCACATCCTCACAACCACTCCTACCACAGCCATAAAGTCAGCCCTACGCCAAACATCCAATACCAACCTTAAGCCCTAAAAAACCTTCCTACCCCATAAACCTCGAAATCAACCCCAACCCTGTGGTCCCAAAATCAGAAACGCTTGGTAATGTGACTATGGTTGTGTCAGAAAACGCGGAGTAAACGGCGTTGAATATGGCTTTTATTTTTGTTGGTCCTCCGGAAACGGAACGAGAACCCGGCGGATTAACAATTCTCTCTTTTACTCTCTATATATAGCTGAATAAAAAAGTTTCCATTTCGTATATGCATGTTGGAGAGGGAATGGCAAAGGGTACGATACAATGGTGAGATAAAGAATGTGATGCTATAGTGGAGTAGAAGGTATGATAAAATGATGGAGTGAAGGGTATGATACAACGATGGGGTAAAAGGTTTGATACGATGGTTGGTGGAGTGAAAAGTTATATATAATAAATACATAAAATAAAGATATAAAAGCTACTACTAAGTAGGTTGTTTAAAAAACATTGAGCCATTTAACATAGCAAATTTCAAAAAATCAAAAAACAAATATATATACCAAGCACTGTAGTTCAACTACTAGGTTTTTTTTAACTATGTGCCAAGGGCCGGGCGCGAGGGGGGGTACCCCCCCCCCCCCCCAGAAAAAAATTTTTTGAAAAAAGTTGAACGTGGTCCCCCCTGTGGATTTTCGGAAAAAAAAATTTAGCAAAAAATCGGCACAGGTAGCAGCTACCTGTGCCGATTTTTCGGACCCCTGCCCCCAGACCAGAAGTCCCCGCCCGGCCCTGTATGTGCCCCCTAATCTCAAAAATTTCTTGCAAGAGAGAGCACAGAACTATTTGAACAACCAAATTAATTTTCTCGTTAGTAGGTTTATTGTATAAACATAGTAATATGTTTTCAACATTGATATAGTATCTATATATCTTTTTGTATGTACAGCAATGTAAAATGTCAGAAGAATATTTACTTAGATCAGCTGAAGTAAAGCAATGGTAAGTTCAGGACTTTGTCGTAATAACGTAGAGAATTGAGTTTTCTGAAAAAATAAATTTTAAAAAATTCAAGGCTTATAAGGAAAGTACCCAATCTGCACAGCTCAACATCAGCTCAAAATTTTTATATGAATTCTTTGTACCACCAATGATACCAATAGTTATAAATTTCAGTTTTTAATTCGCGCTTTTAAGTTTTACAATCTAAATATTTGAATTTTTCGGCAAATTGGCAACTTTGGCTTTGTGTTTTAAGCACTTTTTTTTAACTTTCCAGACAAACTACGTTTAAAAATTTAGGCCTATTCAAAGGTTTTCTACTAGATACCATAGAAAAAATATTTAAAAGTCAAAAAATGACAATGTTATAAGCTTGAGACACAATGCCAATTTGACAAAAAACTCAAAAGTTTGAGGTCAATCAAAATGGAATAGGTCGGGTAGTTTCCTTGTAAGCTGTTTACTTGCATAAGAATATAAACACGTAAGTATAAGTCTCTCCTTGTTGGCTATAAATTCAATTTTTCTTCAAACTCACCGCCTCTTTATCATTGATCTCGTATTTCACAAACAAGCAAGCCTTCTTGATCAGCCAGTTCAGTCCATTCAATTTGGATGCGATTTCAATAATTTTAAACACATTTCCTTCATCAATGTTGTCACCCAAGAATCTGGCAGTATACTCTTTCAATTGTACTAGTCCCAAGAAGTCGGTGGCTACAATAACATCAATAGCATTGGGTTTGAAGGCTGGACTATGTTCACCATGGTATATACAGTAGAGGATTTCAACTAAGGCCTGAAAAGGGTATATACTGTACGTATATACTGCATAGTATGATCAAAATTTACTGTATTATAAGTAATATGAACAAAATTTACTGTGGTATGAATGTCTAAATATAATATTTTGTAAAATACGTCGGTATGTCCCACACAACTCTATAACCACAAAATAAGTAGTATTTTACCTTGTAAGGCACCATTGTCAAAGTAACTTGACCCTCCTGTGACTCCATCGTATCATCATTGAACATTGCTCTAAAATACGATGATGCAGCAGCCAATATGTTCTTGTGGACTGGGATCACTCGTTCTTCTTCATTTTCATAAGAACAAACGATCTTGAAGTCAGAATATTGCTCCTTCATAAAGTTCTTGGCCAAATTGATCGGTTGGGGGTTTAGCTAAAATAATATTTTTTAACATTTTAAAATATAAAATTTTTCAGTTTCAAAATTAAAGATTAAAAAAATAAAAAGAAATTTTCAAATAAAAAATATTTAAAAAAAATAAGATCTTACAGCATTTTTAGCCGGCTGACTTTCATTGACATGCTCAGCCACAGTAATCGTTAGTCGTAGACAAAGATCTTCACGCAGTTGCTCTTTGAATACCCCACTCTACAAAACTCGACTTAAAATTGTTATTTGAAAAATAATTTTAGAAAATTTTAAAACTAGCTTTTTAAAAAAAAACATATTAAGTCTAAATCTAACTTACTTTTTAAAAAAATTCTGCACTTTGCGAACAACGTATTTTACAACAAAAAGTGTTTTTAAAAAAGTTATAAAAATTTGTTATAGTTGTTACTAGGTCTGTAAAAGAGTCAAGACAAGTCAACTTTTTCCTTTCCAAATAGTCTTTAGCCCGGTTCGACTCCTTATATAAATTCATCGAAATAATAACAGGAAAAATGTACCGTACTTCTTCGATTTTATACTTCTTCCAACAAAAAAGATTTTTTGGGGCTTAGGTTGGCCCCTGAAGCCCTCAAAATTGTTAGTTAGGTCAGGCCTTTAGGCTCGCACAATCCGACCCGAGCGAACTTTTTTCAAATTTGGTTTGACCTAGCCTTTCAAATCTAATTTTAATAAAGCCCCTCATACAGAAGTAAAACTAAAATTAATATTTTTTAAAACGTAGTGTTTACAATATATAACTTTTTAAATTTCTACTCTAACCTAATATAATGTTTGATAAGTTGTAACATCAAAAACCCACCAAAACCTTGCCATCTCCATTGATTTCCTGCACAAACTTAACGTCTACAAACTCGAGATCATCGCTTTCGTTATCAGATCGTCGTACCGCACATTTGTAAGACGACCATTTTGGGTTGACACCATCGAGAATTATCTCCATTGGTCGGCCTGGCTGAAAAATTAAATTATTACTGAAAATAGCAAACTTAAAAAAAATCGAGACCGAATCAAGCCTAGCGGGCCTTTTAGGCGTATATTCTACAAACTTTTTGACCAATTGAAAGCTCAAGTTTCATAAATAAATTGAAAAAGCCTTACAAATCTTGGTCGATTGACAGTGATGATCAATTCCTTTGGATCATCTTCGTTTTTGCCTCGAAAGTTTGGCGGTAATACTAGCCGACTTTCCACTTGACCAACGCAGTTTTTGTAGTTTTTAATCACAATGTTACGTTGATAAATTTCAGTTAGAACATCGTGAGTTTTGTTGATTACTAGAGGTCTGAAGTCACATTTTTAGCCAAGTTTTTAAATTATGTTAGTCAAGCTAAAATAGAAATTAAAAAATATTTTTAATTCTAAAACTTACTGTGAAATGACCGATTTGGAAGTAATCGAAGTGGCAGTGCCGACTAGCATGATTAAAATAACTGATCAAACGATTGTTTTCTTGACTTCAAATCCAATTTAATTGACTAGTAGTACTATATAAAACAAATTAAACTATAAACAAAATTAAGGTACATGTGTACATGTGTCAACAAAAAACAAGAAAAACGTCGTCATTGAGTACATAATGACTCAGGAAGTATCTCGAAATTTAAAAATTTCTCATTAAAAAAGAAAAAAATAAAAATATTTTAAAAAATAATCTTAACTGTGTAAAAACCATCCATTACAACATTAAAATCTATAGAAATTAGCGGCCCGACTTAAAAGACGCCATGTGTTAGCTTGACCATCATGGATAATATCATACTTCTGACTAATAAACTAACTTCCTGCTTTTTTTTTTGATCTTGATCTTGTACTAATTACAACATAGTCTTATACTACCTCTATTTCGTTGTGGTAGATTTTTTTTAGAAACAAGTATTGTTAGTACTACAAATTTAAGCATATTAATCAAGCTAAGAATAACAAAACAATTTTTACTTGAAATACCAAAAAACAACATCATAAATGTCCGAAAAGCCCCATCACAACAACCTTGTGTAAAATATGAAAAAGCAAGATTAAAAGGAACCAGCCGGCTGGACATAAAACCCCGAGATGTTCTCGAGCTCGACAAATAAATATATAAAAACGATTGTTTGTCCACCGTTCCCCAAACCTTACGAAAAACAAGAACGGTAAACAGATATAAAGACGAAAGTCATCAAAGGACAAACACTGATTGTGCAGTAATCTGAAGTCAGACCGTAATCAAATACAAAAGGTACGGTTTTTGAGAGGACGAGAGGTTAAAAGTGCAAATTACCCTACCCTACTCTACCCTTGTCTTGCCTTGCCTTGCCTTGCCTTGCCTTGCCTTGCCTTGCCTTGCCTTGCCTTGCCTTGCCTTGCCTTGCCTTGCCTTGCCTTGCCTTGCCTTGCCTTGCCTTGCCTTGCCTTGCCTTGCCTTGCCTTGCCTTGCCTTGCCTTGCCTTGCCTTGCCTTGCCTTGCCTTGCCTTGCCTTGCCTTGTCTTGCCTTGCCTTGCCTTGCCTTGCCTTGCCTTGTTCTAACATACCGGGCCTGCTTTTCCTTCTTTTGCTCTGTTTTGCCGTGACAAGCCCCGCCAAGCTTTGCCAAGCCCTGCTTCTACTTTGCTCTATCTTACCCTACTCTGCTTTAGAAAGAAGAAAATACGTCTCTCATTAAGACTAGCTAACTGCTAACTTAAACTTTACTTTAGCTTAAAATCTACTCTAATCTAAAGCCTACCCTCCTCTATTGTATTCCGTATCCTACTGTAAATAATCAAAATTTTAAAAATCAGCATACAAGCCCCTTCTCATGCCCACACCAATTCGATCAAGCAATTAAAAGTAATATAAAGCCAAGAACAATAAACACAGATCCGAATGTCCATTGTTCGAAAAACAAAAAGCCAATTGAGCCACTTGTCGTTTGAATCTCTGGCCATTAAGTTCAGGTGATTTTTCGTTTCAAAAAACGACTTTCATCAGATGACAACATTGCGTCACTTTATGGCTCACAATTGTCAGACACCTCGGTCACGTTACAGTCCAAAGTTCGGGTTTTAAATAGAAATGGCATAAAAATGAGGAAGAAGTCGAGTTTTTGCTGAGATTTGCACTTTTATTGAACTTGATTGAATTGTCTGAGGTGGCAATGTTATTCTAAACTTTATGAGCCCTTGAGGTACATAAATCTTAAATCTAAGTTTGCTATTTCATTATTGTTAAGTCATAATGAAAAGTCTGAGTAATTGCAAACAGTTTTACGTAGCTACTTATACGAACATAAAAACGCCGTCGACTCAAAATTAGGCGAACACAAAAGGAAACACCAGTATAAACGACAACTCATGATAACTAGCCAACATTTATTTTCAGGAAAAATGTTTTTGTAAATGTCGCAACGAGTGAGATCAGTGAAATCTTGCGCAATCAGATTTCGAAAATTTTTTGAGAAATATTGAAGATATAATGGGTTTTCTTAATACAGTAAAACTCCTGTGTAACAAACTATTTTTGAAGACCCGGCTGACACTACACAATAAATTTAAAACTACTGTATGTTGAAACTGCTTTATAAAAAACAAATTCTAAATCTCCGAGCGATTTTTCGTACAGGAGTTCTACAGGGTGTCCAGAGAAATTTGAAAGAAAGTACAGGCTTTGTTCTCAAAGACTAAGCGTCTGATTGGCCTGATTCTTTTTTTGTTAGAGAGCCAATAGCGGGCGTTTTTGGTTTTGTACCATTTTTTACCGATTCGGCGGACGATCGGCGGAGGCATAAAACCTATTGGTCCATACGCAAAACTGCAAATTTTTTGCTCGAAAATGCTAAAATGCCTTGCGTTGGGTTTCTATTTTTTAATTTTTTTATTTAACCTTTGCGCCGGCGGAGGAAGATGACGTGTGGTACCGTTTTGTCGGCAAAGGCCATAACTCGGCTCAAACTCAATAGTTTTTTTTCAAACAAAAACCATTGAAAAAGTCGTTTTTAAGGGCTTAAAATTAGACAATCTTATTCCTTAAAAAAGGTACTAATTGTTTACACTCAATTTGTACTGTTTTGTCGGCGGAGGCCATAACTCGGCTCAAGCTTGATCATTTTTCTTCAAATAAAAACCATTTGAAATTGTGTCTAAGGAGTTTATTGTTACGCAATCTTGTACGATACTAATTGTTTACACAAGTGGTACGGTTTTTCGGCGGAGGCCATAACTCGTCTTAAAATTGATCATTTTTTTTCAAACAAAGACCATTTGAGCTCTTGTTTTAAAGTGTTTTTGCTACGCATTCTCGTTGTTTAAGAAAGGTACTAATTGGTTATACACAAGTGGTACTGTTTTTTCGGCGAAGGCCATAACTCGGCCCAAAATTGACCATTTTTCTTCAAACAAAAACCATTTGGAAGAGCTTTGTAAATTATACCTGCAGATTGCAAATTACTTTAAAAAACTAAAACAATTAAAAAAATTAATTTTTATAAAAGTAGAGGATTATTCTCTAATTTTTTATTTAAAAAATTTAAAAGTTTAGCATGTAACAATGAACACCTCAAAACAACATTTGAAATGGTTTTTGTTTGGAGAAAAATGAACAAGTTTAAGCCCAGTTATGGCCTCCGCCGACAAAACAGTACCACTTGTGTAAACAATTAGTATCGTACGGGATTGCGCAACAATAAACACTTTAAAAGACTATTACAAACGGTTTTGATTCGAAGAAAAATGATCAAGTTTGAACCGAGTTATGGCCTCCGCCGACAAAACAGTACCACTTGAGTGTAAACAATTAGTACCTTTTTTTTCACCACTAACAAGATCGCCTAATTTTAAGCCCTTAAAAACGACTTGTTCAATGGTTTTTGTTTGAAAAAAAAACTATTGAGTTTGAGCCGAGTTATGGCCTTTGCCGACAAAACGGTACCACACGTCATCTTCCTCCGCCGGCGCAAAGGTTAAATAAAAAAATTAAAAAATAGAAACCCAACGCAAGGCATTTTAGCATTTTCGAGCAAAAAATTTGCAGTTTTGCGTATGGACCAATAGGTTTTATGCCTCCGCCGACCCTCCGCCGATCGTCCGCCGAATCGGTAAAAAATGGTACAAAACCAAAAACGCCCGCTATTGGCTCTCTAACAAAAAAAGAGTCAGGGCAATCAGACGCTTAGTTTTTGAGAACGAAGCCTGTACTTTCTTTCAAATTTCTCTGGACACCCTGTACTGTAGTAAATTTTTTATAGCTGCTTACTTATTTTTATATTAGGTTTTGTAAAGATCATCTAATTTGAGTAGGTTTCATTATACAGTAGAAAAATAATTTTAGTTATTAATTTAAAAGTTGTTTGTTATACAATCGTTCCATTACATATGTGTGTATTAAAAAATGTTTAGTAAAAGTAAAACTTGTTGTATAAAATACGTGCTGGTCCTATGGAACAAAAAATAAAATTAGCAAAAATGTATATTTTAATAAAAACTTTTAAATTTTGGGTTTATTTGACTTATTTATTTTGAAATTTGTTTTGTTAATATTATTTTTTTGAATACTGTTATACTTTTTTGTAATTAAAACTTTTGAGTAATTTGTTTTCTTCTCAACATAATATGTTGTGCAGAAGATAAGTAATGTTTCATAGTTTAATTTTTCTACTAATTAATTTTTATCTTAGAGTTTGTCATCTAACTCAGGATAATGATTATCTTACATAATTATGTTTCATATTACAGTGGAACTCTAGTATATCCAATTGTTTTTGAATTTTAAATTTGTCTGTTATAAAAAATTTTCGGTATACAAAAGTTTATATTCACTACAAGGAAAGTGCCCGACCTCATTGTGTTTCTGGCTTATAACTTGTCATTTTTTGTCTTTGAATTATTTTTCTTTGATTTACTAGTAGAATATTTTTAAATGAACTTAAATTTTTAAATTTGTACGTGTAGCTTGACTAGAAAGTCGATAAAAATGTTTGAAACACAATGCCAAATTTGCCAATTTGGCGAAAAACCAAAATGGTTCGAATTTAAAACTCAAAAGCGCAAGTTAAAATTTTTTATAGCTACCATTGATAGTACCAGGAATTCATATAAAAATATTGAGCTGAGTGGGACAGGTAGGGTAATTTCCTTGTAAGTAAAGATAGCCAGAGATTTAAAACTTGTTTGTTCTACAAGATTTTTTCTGTGCTATATGTGATAAAATATATAATTTTTAATTTTTTGGTAAAAAAACTCATATAGAAACGTTATTTTACTCATAAAATAGTTTTTATATTCTAGTAGATTTTATGTGTTTTATAAAAATTAATTTAAAGCGAACTTAAAATTAATGAAAGTGACAATTGAAGTCATAACGATGATACCTTTTTTATCGCCATAACTTTTTTTTCTAATTTAACCTTTTTATTTAAATAATAACTTGCTCGGTTATTACCAAACTTTTATTTGAATGGGACTTT